TTTAAGAAAAAGGGAAATTTATTGCTGAAAAAGACCACAAAATACGTTTAGAAATTGTAATGGTACCATAAGTTTTTACATGAATTCGCCTTTCCTTTACAAGAGTTCTACTCAACTATTTATACATAGTTTCAGCTGAAATTACATCAAATTAGTCAAATCAGCTACAGTACTGAGCTCGGAGCTTGGGTCGTCTAATTTTCCTGTGAATGGTCGATAAGGTCGGTGATTTTCTCAGGTAATGATGACCTGCAAGAGGCCTGAAGATCAGGTCTTTGGATTGGCGATTATGGGCAGTGATGATGTCACTTGTGGCAAGTGTATATGGTTGATAGAGTGATGTGACAGGAAGTATTCATGATATTTTTCTGAGATAACAGGCGGGCGAGTCCGAGCTGAGAGCAGTGACCGAACTCACACCTGCCTGAGATGGAGTTAGCAAATTCCTTTTGTTAGATCGGAGTTTGATTGTCAACAGTCAGCCCCAGGTCAATTCTGACATAGGAGGAAGCTAACCTTTTTTCCAATTGGTTCTCTTTTAGAGAAATATAATTGTAGTGTCACGTTTGGATAGGGATGAGCTATTAAGCACTTTTAGGTTGCTTCTCTAGGAAGTTTTGCCATAAAACTACGTCGTTTTGACTTGCAGGTTTCTAGGCCGTTTGATCTTTCCCTCCATTTTTGAATGGGCGGCCAAATTGAAGCCCTCTAACTTCTCATCTCTTAAATTCCTTTTAGCTTTTCATTTTATTCTATTGATTTGCACGATTATTTTCTCAAAAGCAATAGCTGATTTTCCGAGTTCTTTTATTTTCATATCCCGATTGAGGTTGGCGTTCTTCAGTTTTCAGGTATTTTTTTGCTTCCTCTTACTTTCTGTTAGTGCTCTTCATTCGGCCTATACATGAGCTCTGACAAATCTAGGGTACATTCGTGGGGAAACCAGCAAGACGAGTCCATCCCTTCCAGTCCTAGTTCTTCATTCAACTATTGAGAAATTTTAGCTCCCATCCCAATTTCTATAGTTAATTAGATGGACTTGGAGCGTCTTTTCAGCATGGAGTTAGGAGGAGAGGGTTTAAAAGGAGATGAGGTTGGTTCTCATGGGGGGAATGAGGAGAATAGTCCAAATGAGTGGGGGCCTAGCTTATATAGGTCGGTCGTTTCGGGTGACATTCCGAGCTCAGTAATTATGATAATACCAGAGCTATCTGATCGAGCTGACACCCTCCAAAGGGATGTGTCGCTTTAAACTCGGCTATTTTTCAGGTCAGACTTAGGCTTCCATTCGCTAGAGTGATCCATAAATTTCTATGCTTCTGGGGCATAGCTCCCACACAGTTGTGCTCTAATAGGTGGCGAACCTTAATTGCCATCCTTATCCTTTGGGACAAGATGGGGAACTCCGAACTGAGCGTTAAGTAATTTGATTTCCTTTTTACCTTTAAAGAGGATGGGAAGAACTCTGGCTGGTGGTATACTAGCGTTAGGCCGAGGACGGGGGTTCACTATTGTTAGATACTCTTTCCTCAATCAAAAAATGAAGGAAGAGTTCTTTTACGTATCTGGGGAGTGGTAATTCCACCCTTCTGAGATGAACAGGCTCTACCACTCTTTGTGTAAGTTTTTTATAATTTGATCTTTTGACGAGGTGAGCATTGATGTAGTACTGACCTTTGCCCTATTTTCAGATTACAAGAAAGAGACCCTGACCAAGGACATACAGCAGCGAGCTGAGGTGATAAGGGCATTGCCAAAAAGGTGGAGATCTTGTAAGTTTGTGATTTCGGATTCGAATTTGTTCCAAGCAGGCTTGGTGCAAGTTTGAACATCCAGTCGATCTATTCCCAGGGCATCTACTTCAAACCCGTTTGACCTAGGTAATAGCTGAACTTACTGTTTGTTATTGACGATATTATTATTATTGTAACATACTAAGCACCTTTTTTTTAGGTCGTCGTCCCAAGATGCTGGGTTATGAAGCAGCCAAGGCAGTAGCTTCTGCCAAAGAAAAGAAGAGGGAGGCCCCCGCAGTGGTGGAAAGTCATTCAGAGGGAACTGAGGGGGAAACTCAGCCTCTTAAGAGGAACCGGTCACTGACGCCAGGCGCACCTCTGCCGTCAATAACTACAACTCCGACTGCTTCTCCCTCGAGATCTTCCCCAGAAGTTTTCCCTTCCAGCTCAATACTAATTGCCATTTCGACGTCGGAGTTGTCGACGATAACAATGTCGTCCTTCCCACCTCGAGTGTACTAGTGGCCGCATCAGCCAGCTAGACGAGGTCACAAGATCGACTTCCAGACTTGCAGCAGTCGAGCTTGGAAAGTTTAATGGGCCATCGGCCAGAAATCTTCCTGGATTTTCTACAGGCCCCTTCTCATTTGAGGGAGATTGTGGCTGTCTTTTCTCTCCCTTCCATGAATCTGCAAATCTCCTTATGAGGAGTTGGGGGGATAAAGAACAGAACTTCCTGACAGAAATGCCTACTGGAGAGGCCGTGGTCACTGCCCAGCTCTATAGCCACCATTCCATATTATACATGATGTCGGTGGCTGATAAGGTACTTCTTCTAAAATTTTTACTTTGTGGACTCGTAACTTCTCGTATTCAAATTCATTTTTTTAACTTATATTTTATTATTTAGATAAAAGTCGAGCTTGATAAGTTACTTGAGTCTAGGGACCAGGCCATGGGCCTATATGAGAGTATGAAGGAGGAGTGGGCTCAGTTTGCTGCTAAAGAGGCAGAGTACAAAGATCAGCTTCAGAAGATGGGTATGGAGTTTAATGCTACGCTGACATCTGAACAGAATCTTCAGGATGAGGTTACTGCCTTGAAGATTTGGGGGGAGAAGGCGAACAAGAGAGCCGAGGGGGAGAAGAAAAGAGTTGAAGAAGAGAGGGCCCTTGCTCAAGCAGAATGAGCTCAGGCAAATGATGAGCATTATCCCAATGAAGAGACAGTTAAGATTGTGCAGGAGAAAAACGCGAAGGCGAGGCTACTAAAAGGGCCGACGAGGCCGAGGCTAAGGCCATTCGAGCTGTGGAGATATGGAGAGAGTCTCCGGAGTTCGATTCCTTTGCTCAGGATGCCTACGTCATAGCATTGGAGGAATTGGTGAAGCACATCCGGAAGGAGAGGCCGAATTTTGATGCGGCCTTCTTAGATGATGGACTGAATGAGGAGAAGGAGGAGCAACGCAAGCTATCTGAAGAGGCGTGAGTTCGGATGCTCCCAATTGATGGAGATGCTCCAGGGGAGACCTCTAATCCTCAGGATCCACAAAGGTCATAGATCCATATAGGCTTATTTTTGGTAGACTTGGTTTGTTTTAACATGATGTAGACAACGTTCCATTTTTGTAACTAACTTTGATCTGGTATGGTATATTTCATTTTGGCAGTAAATTTCTTTGAATATGCTTGCTTATTAATATTATGATCTACCTTAGTGATTTCTGAAATTAGTTCGGCCTGTGCATGTGATAGTGGTTTGGAGAATTCCTTAGGAGGATTTTTCACAAAGTGTCGTAGCACATACGATCTTAGCTCGGCCTGCGCATGGGCAAGGTTTCAAGAATTCCTTAAGAGAAATTACGGTGCAGGGCTTTTAAGAATTCCTTATGAGGAGTTTCCACTAAGTGTCATAGCACATATGACCTTAGATCGACCTGCATGAGGAGAAGGGCTTTTGAGAATTTCTAAGGAGGGATTTCCACTAAGTGTCATAGCACATACGAACTTAGATCGACCTCCGTGAGGAGCAGGGCCTTTGAGAATTTTTAAGGAGGAATTTTCACTAAATGTCGTAGCACATACAACATTAGATCGGCCTGCATAAAGAGCAGGGCTTTTGAGAATTTCTAAGGAGGAATTTCCACTAAGCGTCGTAGTACATACGACCTTAGATCAGCCTACGTGAGGAGCAGGACTTTTGAGAATTCTTAAGGAGGAATTTCACTAAGTGTTGTAGCACATACGACCTTAAATCGGCCTGCGTGAGGAGCAAGGCTTTTGAGAACTCTGTTAGAATGCTGAATAAAATGTTCAAAATATGGAGTCCTTTTTATTGATGTGATTGACATTACAAGCGGGCTTTACATGTCATCGACTTTTCTCGTTCACTGATAATACTGCTTAAGGGTCTACCTCCCAAGTCTTCCAGTTCATATACCCCTTTCAGGAGGATATTCGTTATCAAATAGGAACCTTCCCAGTTCGGTCCCAGGCATCCGCTGCTGGCCTCCCTTGTGGGGAGAAATACCTTTCGTAAGACGAGAAATCTCACTTCAAATTCTCTCTTTTTTTTTTTTTACTTTTTGGTTGTAGTTCTTGGCGTTTCGTTGCTTGTAAATGGCATTTTTTAGTTCGGCGTTGTTCATTTTGTCCTCATCTAGGTCGAGTTCCATACGAAAAGCTATACGTTTCCTTTCTTCGTCGTAAGCAGTTATGTGCAATGAGGGAATGCTGACTTCTAGTGGGATTATAGCCTCTACCCTGAAAGCCAGTAAGAACGGGGTTTCTCCCGTGCTAGTCCTTGTAGTAGTGCGGTATGACCATAACACACTGGGGAGTTCTTCGGCCCATTCTCCTTTAAACAAGTCAAGTTTTACTTTCAATGTGTGTTTAATGATTTTGTTATTGGTTTCTACTTGGCTGTTTGCCTGCGGATAGTTTGTCATTGAGAAATGTTTCTTGATGCCGAACTCTTCACAAAAATCTGAAAGTCATGCGTTGTCAAACTATTTTCCATTGTCCGTAACGATGGAGTGAAGTATGCCCAACCTACAAATGATTTATTTTTACAAAAAATCGGTCGTTTTTTATTCGGTGATCTTGGCAAGTGGCTCTACCTCAACTCATTTAGTGAAGTAATCCACTGCAATGATGATGAATTTCATGCTTCCTTTTCCAATGGGCACAGGTCCAATTAGGTCGACCCCCCATTTTGCAAAGGGCCAGAGTGCTATCACCGGGTTCAGCTCGCGCGATGAAGTATTTATGATGGGACGAGGCGCTGGCACTTGTCGTATCTTTTGACAAACTCGAAGACATCACGTCTTATTGCAGACCAAAAATATCCTTGTCGTATAATCTTGTGTGCTAAGAAAAGTCCACCGGAATGATTTTCACATATTCCTTCTTGAATGTCTCGCAGGGCGTGTTGGGCTTCTTCTTTCAAAAATCTTAGTAAGGGCATAGAATATCCCTGCTTGTAGAGGACATTATCAATGAGTGTGTACCTGGCCAACCTGATTCGGAGCTTTCTAGCCTCTGTCGATTTTTTAGGACATTTCCCGATCTTTAGGTAAGGGATGATCTCATCTTGCCAAGTTGGTTTGGGATCTATCATCATAAGAATTACTTCGATCAACTCGGTGATAGGTAGGGATAGTCTTCCCATGGGGATGCTATCGAATTCTTCGAATCCCTCACTGGTGGCTAGGCTGGCCAGTGTGTCGGCATGGCCGTTCTGAGATTGGAGAATCTTCTTGACTTGGGTGATGTTGAATCTTTTAAGTTCTTTCCTTACAACCCCTAGGTAATTATTCATTCTTTCTTCTTTCATCTGATATACGTCGTTGACCTGATTCACGACTAGTTGGGAGTTGCTATGTATGATGAGTCGCTATGTATGATTAGGTTAGAGATCCTCCACCTTGAGGCCATCCTTACTCCGATAATGAGAGCTTCATACTCGACCTCATTGTTTGAAGCTTTGAAATCAAATGGTAAGGCTTCACAGAATATGTGTTGCTCAGGGCTGATTAATACCACGCTAGCCCTAGATCGATCTCTGGTGGACGAACCATCGATATAAAGTTCCCATGGGGTTTCTTCTAATAGTTCCTCGATTGGAACGCTGCAGAACTCAGAGATAAAGTCGGCAAGTGCTTGGTCCTTGATGGAGGAACGAGGTGTGTATTTGATGTCAAATTGTCCAAGCTCGACTGTCCATTTTATCATCCGACCTGAAGTGTCGAGTCTTTGTAATGTTTGTCTTAATGGAGAGTTGGCAAGGACTTCAGTGGGGTGTTTAAAGAAATATGGCCTCAGTTTTCGCGCTGCCATTAGCAGGGTAAATGCCAATTTTCCCATGAGAGAGTATCTAAGCTCGATTTCGTGAAGCGCTTTGCTTACGTAATAGATTGGGTGTTGAACGTCGTTCTCTTCTTGGGTCAGAGCGGCACTAATTGCATGTTCTGAGACTGATAAATATAGCTTCAGGACCTCGCCTGCTTTAGGTTTTGAGAGTAGCGAAAGTTGAGCTAATTGTTTTTTTAACTCGTCAAAGGCTTCCTAGCATTCTTCGATCCATTCGAACTTCTTTCTTCTTCCTAACGTGTCGAAGAAAGGTTTGCATCAGTCCGTAGACTTAAAGATGAACCTGCTGAGGCACGACAATCATTTCGATTAAACTTTGTACCTCCTTAGGTTCGGTCGGAGGTTTCATTTGGATAACAGCTTGTATTTTTTCAGGATTGCCTCAATTCCTCGATTGTTTACAATGTAACCTAAGAACCTTCCAGCGCTGATCCCGAAAGCACATTTCCTCGGGTTTAACTTCATTCCATGCTCTCTCAAGATATCGAACATCTCGGCTAGGTGCCGACAATGGTCTTTGGCCTTAGTGCTTTTGACCAACATGTTATCAAGATACACTTCCATTGTTTTTCTGATCTGCTGGGAAAATGTGGAATTTACAAGTCATTGATAGGTGGCATCAGCGTTTTTAAGACCAAATGGCATTACTTTGTAGCAGTAAAAAACCTCGGTCAGTTATAAACGAGGTATGTTCTTGATCTGGGCCATACATCGATATATGGTTATATCCGGATTACGCATCCATGAAGTTGAGTAGTTCGTGTCCCGCAGGGGTGTCTACCATTTGATCTATCCTTGGTAAAGAAAAACTATCTTTAGGGCATGCTTTGTTGAGATCGGTGAAGTCTATGCATACCCTCCATTCTCCATTGTGTTTTTTCACAAAGACCGGATTTACAACCTACATTGGTTATTTTGCCTTGCGGAGAAAACCATTGTGCAATGGTTTTTGCACCTCCTTGTTGAGTGCTTCATATCTTTCAGGGTTCAGAGGTCGTCGTTTTTACTGCTACGGTCGAACTGAGAGATCCACCTGTAATTTGTGGCTGGCTATTTTGGGATCTATTCCTCTCATGTCCCTGTGATTCCAGGCAAATATATCAAGGTTTTGTCTAAGGAAGGCCACAATTTCGCTTCGGGTAGAGGGATGCAGCTCACGCCCGACTTTGAGCTCTTTTGATGGGTCGTCGGCACAAATTTGAACTCTCTCTAGCTCTTCGACGGGTTCTCCACCTTCGACCTTGGTTCGCTGATCTAGTGAAATGAGCTCGAATTCCTATATATTAGCCATATGTACTCCCGCGGGGTATGTTGATGGCTAGTATAGGGTTTCAATTGACATCTTTTGACGAGCTCCCTGTTTTCTTTGACTTTACCCACACCATGGGGTGTAGGGAATTTAATTGAATAGTAGTACAGAGACAGTGCTGCTCTCAGGCTAAATAGTAAGGGTTCTCCCATTACAGCATCATAAGGCGATGTTGAGTCGAATACTACGAACTCAGAGTTCATCTTCACTTTTCGGGGTACTGATCCTGACTGGGAGTTTGATCGATCCTTGGGCAGAAGTCAGGGCTCCGCTTAGTCCAAGGACCATATTTGAGTACGGTCGTAGAAAGTTAGCAGAGATACCCATCTATTTGAGAGTGTTGCTGAAGAGGATGTTAAGAGCACTCCCCATATCCACTAAGACATTGGGGATGGTTACCCCAGCTACAGGCAACGAGATTACCAGAACTCCGAGGTAAGGATATGGGTCCACCTCTTTTTCGTCAAAGGACAATTGCTCATCTGTGGCTTTCTTGAGGTACTTCTCTGTTATGTCGATCTTAGAGAGATCCGCAACAATTGATCTCTTCAGTCTGGCTTCTCCAGCTTGCTTGTTCGCCCTGCCCCTTAGCATGTTGACTTGTGGCTTTGGCAGGTCGATATTGCACACCCTTACTCTAGTTTGATCCCCTGGGATTATTATAGTCCTGTAAGGAATGGGAAATTTCATACAATAATGATAAATTGATGTAGCAGCTTTTAGCTCGTGCAAAATGAATTGTCCCAATATTGTGTTATACTTGGATGGCAGATCGACTACCATGAAATCTGCTAAGATCTTACTCGGGCGAGGAGCTTCGCCCAACTCTGCAACAAGGATGATCTGACTCGGGCTTCAATAGGATCTCTGGAGAATCTCTGTAGTTTTCTTGAGTACAGTTGAAGATAGCGCTCTGATATTTCCAATTGTCTCAAAGTTTGTGTGTACAGTGTTTTGACCGAACTTTCGTTGTCTATCAATGTCCGGTGAACTTTTACTCCGACAACTGGCATTGTGACCACTAGGGCCTCGTTTTGGTCTTGGAGGATTCCGTGGGAATCTTCCTCCGTGAACCAGAACCATTCAGGGTCTATCCTGATCTGTAGGGTTTGATTCTAGTAGTTCGGTATGATTCTTGCACTTCGGGCTTGTCTTTATCTTGCCCTCCTAGATCCTTTAATATACTGATTTCCTCCAATCACCATTTTGATTTCGGCGCGTAGGGGTAAATTATGATTAGGGATTGCCTGCTGAGCTCGTGTGGGAGGCCCTTGCAGCAGCAGTTGCTACGTTGTAGATCAATCTGCCTTTTTCGATTTGGCAACAAACTCCTGTAACCTACCTCTACAAATCAAGGACTCAGCTTTCTCCTTTAATTCTCGACAGTTATCAATGTCATGACCTACCATCCTATGATATCGATAGTATCGTCCCTGTTGGTGTCCTGACTGCTTGTTCTTTTGGATCATAGGCCTGTGAAATACCCCTTTTCATTAGTTTGTGTGAATACTTCTTCCAATGAGACTTTAAGTGGGTGGTATTCCCGAAATTTATATGGCTGAGCCTTAGGACGTTCTCTTTCTCTCCTATCATTCTTTCTTTGGGGCTGAGGACTGTAGCTTGGTTTATTCTATTTCGCCGTATTGCTGAGGTCGGGTTCGCATTTGACTTCCTATTGGTCAGAGGTTGCTTCTTCAGCACTTATGTATTTCTCAGCTCGGTTCAAGAACTCGTGATAAGTTCTTGGGCCATCTTCGTGTATTGACCACCAAAATCTCGTTCTGGGCCTAAGTTCTGCTAGTACGATCATAAGTGCTACGTCATCAGATTTTTTTTCACTTCCATGTATTGCTTGTTGAATCTGTTCAAATAGCTTTTGAGGGATTCGCTTCTTCCTTGTTTGATACTTACTAGCCTTTCTTTGGGCGTGGTTCTGCCCCTGGAGCCCATGAACTAGGCCAAGAATGCCATGGCTAGATCATTCCAATTTTTTACCGACCTCTGGAGTAGTCTCCTAAACCACCTCTGAGCTTTGTCTCCCACGATTAGGGAGAATGCCTGGCGTATGATGGCGTTACTTGCTCCCTGCAGTTCCATCCACGAGGTGTATTTGTCAAGGTGGCTTAGGGGATTACCATCTCCTTCATACGCAGCCATCTGGGGGATTTTCAATTTTTCAGGTAATGGTTCCATAAGGACATCCTCAGTAAAGGGGAAGTGTCGCTTAGTGAGATAGTCTTCAGTGCCACCTTTGTTTTTAGCCTCCAGGTCAGCTATGCGTCTTTTTAGTGCGCTCAACTTGGGTTCTGTCTGCTCCAGAGGACATTTAAGGTCAGGGTCGATTTGTCCTCGCGTAGGGGTTAGAGAGTGCTGGGTCTCCAGCCTATCAAACACACTGCCAGTCCTTCTTGCATCGGGATCCTTACTCTTAACTTCGTCAGTTCAACTTCTTGGGGACTCTCATCTTGAAAAGTGGAGAGTCCTCCTGGTAGGGGGACGTTTTACTCTTGTCCTCTTAGGAGATTCTACCTCGGTATCTGGTGGGAACAAGCGGGCTTGACTCTATTCCAATCATCCCACTACATTAGTCAGTTTTTCCAGGGCTTCCCTCATGGCGGTCATCTGAGAGTCTTGTCATCATGGAGGACTTGGTGGAGTATTCGTTTCATGAGGGTGGGTGTGAGATGGGTTTCTAAAACTTGAGCTATGACTCATGGCTCTCAGATTTTATGGGGAGAATGAGACTATTTTTCACAATTGGGGCCCTTCTTCTAGCACCAAACTGTTGACGTTAAAATTAGCAAGGCTAATCTTAATCCAACTTTAAGGAAAAAAAGAAATTTATTGTTTCAAAAAGGCCACAAAATACATTTAGAAAGTATAATGGTACCATAAGCTTTTACATGAATTCATCTCTCCTTTACCAGAGTTCTACTTAACTAATTATACATAGTTTCAGCAGAAATTACATCAAATCAGCTACACTACCGAGCTTGAAACTTGGGTTGTTGAATTCTCCAGTGATTGGTCGATGAAGTCGGTGGCCATGTGTCAATATTTTTCTCAGGTAATGATGACCTGTAAGAGGCTTGAGGATCGGGTTTTGGATTGGCAATTATGGGCGGTGATGACGTCACTTGTGGCAAGTGTGTATGATTGATAGGGTGATGTGACATGAAGTAATCATGATTTTTTTTGAGATAACGACGGGCGAGTCCGAGCTGAGAGCAGTGACTGAACTCAGACCTGCCTAAGGTAGAGTTAGCAAATTGTTTTTGTTAGATCGGAGTTCGGTTGTCAACAATTCCCATCTAATAGATGTGATAGAAGTTTCTCTCACACTCTACTTGATCAGGGTCTTAACAGATAGAAGATTCTAACATCGATGATTCGTATACACCCACAAAAGAAGAGTAGAATAGAAAAGGCAATTGGAAACTTTAGAAAGAATCCAAAGACGACCAACTCACACTTTCTCTTAATGCACATCAACACCACCAATATTTAATCACATCTCATCTCATGATCCAAAATGTTGCACATCCCACGTACATATCACTGATGTACACTTAGACATCTATACTCTATAGTACCAATAGACATACATACTGCCAATGCATCTCAAGCCTACTATGACAAAATCAACACTTTTGGCTGCTACAAAGTTAGGGTTTAATATAAATTGACCCATTCGCAACAAGATTATTCCAACAACAATGTTAAAAAAAGTCCACAAAGGAAATGATGAAGGTGCCACTCACAAAGAGAATAGAAGAAAGAATTGGTTATTTTACTACACTTACAAAATAGGCTCACAAAGCGGAAGAAGATAACCCTCACTTGGCTATCTCACATAACCTCATAAACCATAGAGGCTCATAAAGATAAAAGAAAAAATGGTTGCATTTTTTTCTTTTTACTATCACACTCTTTCACACCATTCATAGAGCAAAAGGAGTATGCCATAGATCTCAACCTACTACGCATACAAACAAATTACACAAAAGTAATCAGATTGCTCTCAAGTTCATACAAATGCACGTTCAAACATATTGAAAATGCAACATATGACCATGCAACTGAATTAAGCAATCATATATATATGTAGAAAGGATTACACATAAATGCACATACAATAACCAAGTTTATTCTCAATAAACATCACTTGGGTCATCACTCAACCCAGTGGTAACATTTGCCTCACCACTCTTCTTATCTTTCCTTTTATTCTTCTAGGACGGTCTCTTTCAATATGTTCAAAAAATACCATAGTTAAAAATCTCTTACTTTTGGCACTTGCTTTAAACCTATATTTGCCATCAAAAGTTTTATAAAAGACTTTGTCTTGTCAAATTGGGAAATTACATTTTTCAATTAGAAAAACACAACCCAAAACGTATTGTTATTTTACCAAAAATGCACAAAACACAAAATGTAACTAACAACCATCACAATCAAAATATCAACACAAGTCCTTTTCAACAGTGAAAAATTGGCAACGAATTCACAGAAAATTCAAGGCAAGAAATTAACACAATTCCTAGATCTAACAACAAGCAATGGTTACATCACCCGGTAATCCCAATGTCACTAAACACAATGATTTCTAATGTGAAAAAGTAAATAATGAAAAAGGAGCAGACCATATCTGCGGCTTCTTATACTAGGAAAGATATGAATTTAGCACTTTAGGGCCTTCACTATTAAGTTCCAACAACCATAGCAACACAAAAAAAATCCGAAACCAAAACTTTCAAGGGTAAAATAGTAAAGATTTTACATTATCACTTGAAATAGAAAACGGACACCACCGCAGGGTCCGTCTTATCGTCTGGAGAAAATTACCTCAAGTTCACTTCGTTGGAATCCGATCGACACGCCCTCATGCACCCAAACCGGCAATGCACCTAGGCCTCAAGTGCCGGTCCCACACATCGGCGCTGACTTTAGCAAGCTTGACCATCAACACTTGGTTGCCTCATTCTTACAGCCCAAAGGAGATGAAATGGTGGTTGGTTTGTAGCCTCTAGGGTAGAGACGAAATAAGAGGAAACAATGGTGGATTTTGTCAAGAACTTAATTGCCTCTATTTGTATTTCTCCCTTCACTTGCAAACACTTACACGCACATTCAAACTCAAAGAGAAACAGCCGCAGGGATGCCAAGTATATATGGACTTTAGGTCGCATCACAAGATTGGGCCAAAACATTCTTCCAAATGGGCCAAAGCAATTATCAAATGGTCCAACAAATCAAAAGTCACTCCAATGGGCTAAAGTAACTTGGGTCATCCAAAGTGTTGATTTTTCATTATCGTCCAAATTGATTGGATATGAAAAACCCAACAATGTAGTAATATTATAAGCTGAAATCTTAGGTACAGAAAATTGGTTGAGTGGGTTTTCAAAGCTGTTCAGTTTTGTAAATAAGAATGTAACTTTTACATTGATAATCAAAGTATTGCTAGCAACTAGCAAGGTCAAGTTGATAAGGAATTAACAAAGTTGCTACTAAAATTGGGAAAAGTGTTTCAAAATGGCGCTTTTGTTAGTGAAGCAACTCTTTGAGATTGATTTACGTGGCAATTTTTTGGCTATTGGATTTGGGTTCAAGAAACTTCTACAGGCTAATCCACTTGACATCAGGTTCGATGCTTGATGGAGCGAACTTTTAAGGGTCAATCTTCTCTCTCTCGAATCATTAACTCAAACAAACTCTAATTCTTTTTTCGTATGATTCATCTTCATCTTTTTGTGTCATTCTTGTTTTCTTTGGTGATTTAGATTAAGAACTTAGGGTTCCTCGATCTTCGTAGTTCATAAATGAACGTGGATAAGGCAGTGATTTTTTGTGCATCTTTATTGTTGTTGTTGTTGTTATTATTATTATTTTATTATTATTATTATTATTTTTTTAAAGTACTGACTTTGAACGTTTATGAGAAGTATGATTTTGGATGATTTTTAGTAACAATTTTTAAAATAGTCCAACCATGCTTAAAAGTTTATTATCTAGTGATTCCAAGTCTTTAAAAATAATAAAATTACATTTCTGCACCTTGGTGTTATTTCTAATTTCTAATTTTTTTGTATAATTTTTTTACTCATAAGTGATGTTCTACTTAAAAGTAAATTTTATATATGAGTTAAATTTTAACTGAAAAGGTGAAATATTTACTTATAATTAAAAATTTAAGTTATAAGTAATTTTTTAGTTATAAATAAATTCTAAGTTATAATCATTTTACTCTTTAAATATTTTTAAAAATAAATGATTTTTTATTTATGAGTATCCTTTTGTATTTTATTAAGTGTTTTTTTTTCTTTGTTAGTGTTACGTAGATTACTTAATAAGCAATTTTTACACAGAAACTAATTTTTATCTTATAAGTAATTTTTTACATATAAGTAATTTTTTTTAATTATAAGGTAATTTTCTAGTTATAACTAAATTTTTAATTTCTTTATTTTTATTGACTAGTTAGTTTTGAACAATATATGTATAGAATGTAAAATTGGAATATATTTTGTGAACCGGCAAAATCTGTCGATTTGGCTGGTTAAGAATTATGGCCAAAATTACATTAAGACCTTGTTTGAGCCCCATTAATTTCTCATTAAAATGAAAAATATGACCGTTATTCATCACATCAAATCATCTTATTTGACTTTTTATTTTTTGTGTGGAGTTCATAATGATTATATTTTTCATTCTTATTTTTACAATAATGTGGTTCAAACGGGGGTTAAATGAATATTGGATGAGTTTTAAACCACAATGCCCAAAAAATTTGACCTACTTTCTCAGCCTATCATAATGTTTTAGAGAGAAGACGGACTCCGTAGGGAATTGGGTGTTGGATTTGGAACCCTTGCCAGAAAAGTTAGTGTTATTTAAGTCCTGTTTGGCCTTATTAATTTTCATTTCATTACATTTTATTTTTTTCTTTCCTATTTTTAATCACACAATTTTTCATAAAATAATATTATACGTAAACATAAAACTTTTCCTTCTTTTTTAACTACTCATTTTTCAAAAAAATACTATTCCATCCATTTTCATTATTGCAAAATAGGGACCAAACAGATGCTAAATTTCTTGCACTTTTACTTAGGGATCAAATGTTGTTTGTATATTCTTATAGTCATATTTGATGTGTATCATGATGTACACTTTATCACTTGGTATTATCCAATTGGACAATTTAAAAAATAATAATTTTCTTTATTCAATCATTTGTTGACAACAATGAAAATGTCAACAAATGTATTAAAAAAGAGTTTACAACTGACATAATCCATATTCTTATAGTCCTGTTGATTTCCTGGGCTAAAATTTAGCCCCTGTTTGCCCCCATTTCTTGAAAATTAAAATGGGTAAAATATTAATTTTTTTTAAAAATTAGTAGTGAAAAATGAAGAATTTTTTTTGATTTATGTGTAATATTATTTTATAAAAGATTGTGTAGTTAAAAGTAGAAGAGAAGGAAATGAAATAAAAATTAATGAGTGCCAAATTGGGACTTATGCATCACCATTTTGTTTAAAAAAAAATATTTTTTTGACATTCTTTAATTTTTCCTTATGCAACTAGCAATTTATTGAAAAATGAAATAAGTGGGTTTGCTTTTATTTCTGGTCAACACATCGAGGGACGCAAAAGTAAGCCCACGTTTGCCGGCCATTATTTTGAAAAAAATGGTGTTTTTCCCGAGAGTTCACATTTTTCCAGAAATTTTTATGTTTGTAGCAGCCCTCGAATGCTTATACACGCGAAAATACCCTATTTAGATGAATAATGCTTCCTTTGATGCTTTCACTTTTCATTTCTTTACTTGAGCGACTTTTTGGCCTTGTGAGATTCTGAGAGATTGGAGATGGCTCATGCTGCTGTTGTTTCTCTTATGCACGCTCTTGAGCAGATCCTCCAACACCCAAATCTACATTTGAATCTTTTTAAGCAGCAAGAAATTGATTGTCTTTTTAAAAAGCTTAAGTCTTTACGGGATTTTCTTGAAAAATATTCCCAAAATAGCAGCGAACATGTGCTATCAGTGGAAATAAAAATCAGGGATGCGGCTTATTGTGCAGAAGATGTAATTGAATCCCACATATGCAATACTGTTCTTTCACAATCAGGAAGTCACGGACAGGAGAGTTCTTTACAGCACCTACTTCCTGTGCTCCCAATATCTGGCAGCGACCCTCATACAGACTTCCAGAAGATAATAAAAGAATTTGATTCCATCATGGAAGAGGTGGTGAAGATTGCGGACTTGCAGAATAAAATAACAGAAATTAATACACTCATGGAAGATTCTATGAAGATCACGGAGGGGATCGGGCAGTCAGGGCATTTTTTGCCATCAAGACCGGAATCTAGTGGCCAAAGTACTACAGTGGGATTTGAGGAAGATTTGAAGCAGGTAAGGGATCGACTCTGTAATGGATCATCTGGACTCCAAATCATTCCCATTGTTGGGATGGGAGGCGTTTGCAAAACTACTCTAGCTAGGAATGTTTATGATGATTCATATGTTGCGTATCACTTTCATATTCATGCTTGGGTAACACTATCTCCGCAGTATCATAAAAAGAAAATTCTTCTAAGCCTTCTAAATCACTTTGTTGTTCTTACTGGTGAGATACGCAAAGAGAGTGATGAGAAATTAGCAGATCGCCTTTACAAAAGTCTAAAGGGTAGGAAATATCTAATTGTAATTGATGACATTTGGAGTACTACTGTTTGGGATAACATGAAATTGTTATTTCCAAATGACAACATTGGAAGCCGAATTATAATGACAACCAGGATAACAGATGTGGCTGGTCATGCCAGCTTATCTACAAAACATCACCAGATGCGTTTTCTAAATGGGGAACAAAGTTGGAATTTATTTCGTGAAAAGGTGTTTGGACAAGAAAATTGCCCTCCTGACTTGGAAGATATTGGAAGGAAAATTGCAAAAAATTGTAAGGGACTTCCATTATCAATTGTGGTGATTGCTGGACTTCTCTCAAACGTTGGTAAAGCACGAGATGAGTGGAAGCATGTTGCTGAAAATTTAAGCACATTTATAGCAGAAAGAGATGGCCAGTGCTCAGAGGTATTAAATTTAAGTTTCAAGCACTTGCCTACTCATTTGAAAGCTTGTTTTCTTTATATGGGAGTTTTTCCAGAAAACTATGAGATTCCCGTTTCTAGACTCGTCAAATTATGGGTCGCCGAGGGATTTCTAAAACCGAAAAAACCTAAACACTTGGACGAGGTTGCAGAGGAATACCTTATGGAACTCATAAGTAGAAATCTTATTTTGGTTTGTCGAAAGGGGTCTAATGGGAAAATTAAATCCTGTGGCATACATGATCTTTTGAGAGAGCAATGCGTAAGGATAGCTCATAAGGAGAAATTTTTTTGTGTCAAGAGCAAGTATCTGCACTTTGGTCCGGAAGACGCAACGTTCATGCGCCGTTTGAGTATTCATGACGATGCCTCTTATAGTCCAAGTGAAGAGGATGTGACTGTGCAATCAATGTCTCGTGTACGGTCTTTCATATATAGTGGTTGGGATGAAACTCAATTGCATTCATATTATTATTTTGGTTGTCTGTTACTGAGGGTATTGGATATTGTTGGACTGAAGCTTACAAAATTCCCAGATGAAATACTTCAACTAGTTAACTTAAGGTACATTGCTATCACCTGTCTTGGTAAAATCCCTCCTGCTATTACCTTACTTAGGAATCTACAGACTTTAATTGTTGAAGATCCATGGGGAATTGCAATTGAACTACCAGATGAAATTTTTAATATGCCACAATTGAGGCATATAATAATTTCTCGAGCTTTCCTGTCTCCTGTTTTCTCTATTCCATTCCCTGATAGTGATAAACATTTCATTCTAGAAAACCTAGAGACACTTTCGATGGTACAAGATTTAGGAATGACAAAACACGTCCTTGAAAAAATGCCAAATGTAAAGAAGTTGGGAATTCATTATAATACCAATATATGGCATGTCTATGATGTCCACCTGCAAAAACTTAAAACACTAAAGATTGTCTTTGACTCGCCTACAAATTCAACTTTCCTGCGGAGCATCACTTCTGCCCCAAGGCTCAAAAAGATAACTTTGGAACGTGGTAGAATTGGTTGGGAAGATATGACGATTTTTGGTTCGTTGCCAAATCTTGAAGTGTTGAAATTGCACGAGTTTGCCTTCATAGGCCCAGCGTGGGCACCAATTGATGGGGAATTTCCTAAACTAAAATTCTTGCTCATTTGGGAGACGGATTTGGAGCACTGGAGAGCGGACAAAGCCCATTTTCCAAGCCTTGAGCACCTAATCCTGCGGAAGTGCTCTAAACTGGTAGCGATCCCTCTTGGTATTGGAGAAATAGCGACGCTTGAAATAATTGAGATAGATGACTCCAGTCCTTCTGCCGTGATATCTGCAGAGGATATACTTGATGACCAACAGAGCCAAGGAAATGAAGGCCTTCAAGTTCTCTTCCATCCAACGGAAGCAAAGATTAATCCTTCAAAATATGGGGTAATTCAGTCCCTCATCCCATATTTTTTCATGATACTCAAACTTTTAGATGCATCACTGACATTGATGAGTCTGTCTACAGTTATGGCAAGATGACTCAGGTGTAGTTTATCGACCAAAAAGGAAACTCGATATGTCAAAGGTAAATTAATTACTCACTCTATATTTGTATGTTAGTTTCTTAATTTAGATACATCAGGGAAAATATTGATTAATCTGCCAACTCATCCAGCAAGGGGCGTCTCCAACTATTCAAAATGTCGAGTCATCACAGGTAAATCAATTCCTTGCACATATTTGTATGTTAATTTCTTAATTTAGATCCATCCGGAAAAATATAGTTTAAACTGCCGACGCATCCAGCAACAGGACTCTCCAATTGTTCAAAATGTCATGGCGTTAAATCTACCCGAAATTGGGAAAGAAAAAAGTAGAATAAGTAAAATTAAGCCTCAAATCCTTGTCCAACTCTAATAAATCACAATCGTGTGTTTAATATCTTATAAACACAAGGGAATTAAAGAAGAATCTCTATTCTACAAATTCAGTACCAAATTTCATTCAACACCAATTTCCTAATATACATCTTTTTAATACATTCTTAATTAATACCCCAAATACATGTAAATAACCTTTAGTTGTTGCTAAACCTTGAAATCTTTCCATAAACCTTAAAAATTCAATTAACGTGACCTTTTACTTCTCCTGAAAATAAGAAGGAAATGGAGGGATGGAGAAGCCAAGCTTGAAGAATCGTGCATCTGATTCTTGTTCTTCTTTTTCTTCACTTCCTTTTTCTTTTCCTTTCCTTTTTCCGTCCTTCTCTTCTCTCGATTCTTCTCCGCCTCGGTTTTCTCTTTGGTCCCCCAACAACGTGAAAATGGATTGATGTCTAAAGTGTATGGATAACTATAGAATAATTGCAAGTCAAGTCCTCCAATCTTCATATAACATAATATTTAGTCCTTAAGTTTCCAATAATAGAAATTAAATCCATAAATTCCTTTATTACATCATTTCTAGCCCCTAGTACTTGTAGTTACAATTGAAGTCCAATGAAATTCATTTATTCAACTTAAGTCCTTATTTGATTTTGATTTTGGCTTTGACTAGTTGAATGATATATATATAGACACACACACACACACACACTTTGCATTTTCATAAATGTCACTCTTTGAAAAGGGTAATTATATTAGCACCACAAAATTTACTAAATATACCACGTTATATGGGTAATTAGCAAATAAGTCCCTATCGTTTTACTCATTGCGAAAATGATCCCTATCATTTTGAACCTGCTATTTACACCCTCATTTCAAGCATTTCTTGCAAAATTGATCCTTTCGGTCATATTCTGTTAAATCCATCTGTAAAATGTGTAATTTGATGTAAAAGATCCCTATTGTTTTCTATAATTACGCAAATGGTCTCTATCATTTCAAATTTGCTATTTGGATATTCAAATTGATATTTTTTTGCTTAAAAGGCCCTTCGTCCATTTTTCAATTATAACATTAAGAAATGACTAATTTATTATCATATTTAAATAACCAAATAGAAAATAGACATAATATAAACAAATTGTATCTAAAGTTTCTAATTTTTTTTAAAAGTACAAACGAGTCTCAGGAAAATAATTGAAGCATTTTAATAAACAAAAACATTTCATCTTCCCAATTGACCCACATACCCTACACCCATCGCCTACACTCTACCACTACAACAAAATTAATTAAATATATAATTAACACTATAATAAAAATAAAAAAAAGAATTAAAAATAGAAAAAAAATTATAAAAACAAAATGGCGATTCCTCATCAACTTTTTATTATTATTATTTTTTTATACTTTTAATTCTCTTTTTAATTATTTTGGTAGTGGAGGATGGGCCGATAGGCATACGGGTAGGGGTAGGTGGGTTAATTGGGAATATAAAATATTTTTTTATTAGAATGTTTTAAATTTTTTTATGTGAGATTTGTTTGTAATTTTTTAAAAAATTACAAACTCTATATGCAATTTTTTTTTATATTATTTCTATTTGTTTATTTAAAGATGACAATAAATTAGTTATTTCATAATGTTATAATAGAAAAACTGGACGTAAGGACTTTTTAAGTAAAGAAATGTCGATCTAAGTATCCAAATGTCAAAATTGAAATGATAGGAATTATTTATGCAATTACAGCAAACAATAGGGACCTTTTATATCAAATTATACATATTTAATGGAAGGATTTAATGGAATATGATGGAAAGGACCAATTCTGCAAGAAAGGTTTGAAATGAGGATGTAAATAGCGGATTCAAAATGATAAGGACCATTTTCGCAATGCATACAAAGGATAGGGATGTTTTTTGCTAATCATCCCACATTATATCCACACGGCAATTAAATGTTCATAGTCTATTTAAATGTGCCACGTCGGCAAAATCTTATTTCTTTTTCAAATAAAATTAATTTGAAGAATTAAAAGCATTAATTTGTATACAGCCGCCTGTGACGACTGCGGTTATGGAAGTGCACTTACACTGCGATGGATGCATACAGAAAATCCGCAAAATTGTGGCCAAAACAGCGGGTGAGATTATCAAAATCCTTGTTAGTTTTTAGTACTCATATTGAAGTGTGGTTAACAGAGACATTTGACGGCGTTACAGGGTACGGGGAAATGAAAATAGACAGACAGAAGGATTTGGTGACAGTGACTGGAGCAATGGACATGAAGGCTCTAGCTGAGACTCTCAAGAAACATTTGAAGACAGAGGTTGAAATTTTGCCTCCCAAAAAGGAAGGCGGAGGCCGTGATAAGGGGAAAGGCGGTGGCGGTGAAGAAGTCGGTGGGAATAAGAGGAAAGTTGGTGGTGGTACGGGGAAGGACGGTGGCGGTGAGGAAGGGCTGCACCAAATATTTAGCGAAGAGAATCCAAATGTGTGTAGTGTCATGTGAGAGGAGGGGAGAGGAAATTTGTATATGAAGAATAGAATGGATTATCTTATGTTGGTGGGTAGTTAATTGGGTTTCTTTGTTTAATGGATCGTTAAGGTTTCAGTAGAGTTAATTATGTTTTGTTCTTTCATAATTCTCATTGTTTTTATATTATTACTCAGTACAAACTACTACCAAGCACAAGTCATCATCTTTCTAAATCTACTTTGACATCCATTTTTGACATTCGATGATGTATAAAAAATTTGGCCATTAACTTAAATAAGTGTAATTTAAATAAATAACTAGATTGCCTGCCATGTCATGAGATGTCAATATAGTTCTAAATGTGTCTCCTTTTTTTGTGTTAATAATTGAAGTTTCAACTTTATATTAGTACTAGAACTCGTAAATAAATGACTTGAACTCCTTAGATGATTTTGAAGATGGATTTTGGTATAGGTCCAGCTATTGATTTTGAATTTTGGAATGGGTAGTGTAAAAATTTCTGTTTACATAAATCTGTAATTCGAAATGTTGGAAAGATAAAGGAAACTTGGTATCACACTATTATTTATGCTTCTTTCCCTTCTATCCAACAAGATTTTCTTTTTCTTTTTTTGTAAGTTTCTTGGGTTTGATATGTTCTTGGGGTTTTGTGATATTTGTTAATGTCATTTGAATTTGAATTTTACATTTACACTAATCAAGTTTGTCAAAACCTGACCGTTCATATCTTGGAACACCAAATTGAATAGCAAATGTAAATGTAAATGGCAAGTGTGTGGTTAATGTGTTTACGAGATTCTTGGTTAGCTTGTAGTAAGATTTTGCTGTTTTTTGTCTGAAATATGCATATATTTAGTTGTCCAATAATGCTACATATACATCATTATATACATTATCTTTTATATTTTCCCACAAACAACGCACCATTAGACTATCTAAATTTTGCACAATTTTTTCACCCAATCAACAACACTGCCAATGTCAACCATAATGTCAAAAAAAAAAAAAAAAGTGTACAAGGGACATTTTCTTTAGTTTTCATTTTGTTTAGGGCCGAGCTACAGTATTCGCATGGGTGATTGCAGAGTTGATTCAATACACAAATGAGGGTTGGAATTATTTATTCATGGGGGACCCATGTCCGAGCATGTGAGGGCGCGGTCACCCGTGAAGTCATCCTCGTGGATCGTTTGGCTTAACTCTTTTGTTTATAGGTTTTGAGTTTTTTGATTGATAATAACTTTTTTATTATAAAACAAATACGTGTCATTGCTTCTTAAATAAAATTCCATTGCCGCTTTGAAAGGAAATTTATTGCAGTCCGCTTGTTAAATTTTTGTTAATCGATTAGTGAACAAAAAGTAACATGTTGTTTAACTTTTTAATTTAAAGGTCACGTGACATGTTGCACATTTCAAAAAAATAATTAGAATTCTCAATTTTTAAAATGTCGTGTGTGTGTGTAATCAGGGATCAAGTGAGATCAAATGCAAGCTATTATTTTATCCCCCAATATTCTCTTGTCAATTTTTTGTTGAAAAGTGACATATTGTGTCACTTTTTAATTAAAAGGCCACATATTATTTGTTTACGTAGTACTGGATTAGAATTGAACTTATCAAAATTAAGTTTAATTTATATGTAACTTTACAATGTTAAGACAAGAATTTTTTAAACAAAATTTTAGTAAGATCTTAGTTAGAGATTTGTATACTTCATTTTTACAATTACGTATATGTGCACTTTGTAGGAGGTATTATGGTGAACGCTTCTAGTACAATTGTAGTGTCAAATAGTTGGGGGCAGGTTTTCATTGTGGATTTTCTTTCGTAATTGGCCTAATGGCAAGAAGTATTGACCGAGTGCTTTTGATTGAGGAAATTGCTTGGCTTTCTGACTTGATTATCCAGGTGTATTTATGCTATAAATATATTTTTTATTCATATATGTAGCTATTCATACATGTAAAATCTAAATCAGCTATATATTTCACTTGGAAGTCAGCTGCATACATAAACCAGGGCCGGTACTTTGGCCAAGCAAATGAGGTCCATGCCTCAGGACAAAAACAATAGAAGGCTTATTTTGGCCCAACAACCCCCTTATAGGCGCCCCTGCTCCGGACCTACAACTCATATTCTTTTATCACTTTCAGTGCCAACCCTCGAGCTTAAGCGACGTGGACGTACCTATGGCTTAGGCACATCGTAGATAGTCGAGGCCAATCAAAGTAAGTTGGATATCATGTATGAAGACACTAATGGGCAACCTATTGGACCTAATGCTAGTCGGTTCGTATCTGAAATAGGATGTGGTGTTCGAATATTTCCACCTTTCCATAAGATATTTTAGAAAGATTTGACCGAATCTGAAAAGTCCCCTATATATGACAAAGTGGAGGTAACATTATTATTTAACTTGTTTTGTTTATTCAATTATTATAGGTTCATTTATCTTGAACAAGATTAAATGCCAAGAATAGTCAGAATTTTAGAGTTGCTTATAAGTTGTATAGTATTAGACAATGTTAATATGGAAGCAAACAGAGCTTGAAAGATAGCATACCGACTATTATAGCATACAAAATGAACTTGATCAAAATTTAAAAGAAAGCCTACTGAATATGATAGCACTCTAAGAAGCAATTTGAGATTAAACTGAAAGAAGATGATTTCACCATCCATTAGTCATAGCCATAGAGCAAGATTTTTGTGTACTATATATATGTTGTTTTTAACATACATTATGATATAAATATTCAACTCTTAAAGGGTTCGTGGAGAAATCAATGCCACTTTCTTTAAGGAGTTTCGATATGAGTTGCACGCACACTACATGGAGTATATAGACCAACTAATGGCTCATAGGAAAGCAAATAAGCCTAAAGAAGTTCGTCACCAGATTGATTGGGATTATTTATGCAATTATAGGGAAAGTGAGCGACTTCAGGTGCAATTATATTTAGTTTCACATGCATTTATATTCATTTGTTTACTTATTTATTTCATTGACTATATTCATTTCTATTTAATTATACATTATAGAAAAGATCTAAGGTAGCCGTTAACAATAGATCCTAACAAGAGTTCACCCATTTCTATGATTCCAGATCCTTTATTCAATAAAGTAAGAAGCAAAATAGATGCATTTCTATTGGGAAATAGCTTCAATTTGATTTAATTCTCCCTCTGAATCAAACTTTTCTTTGCCATAATGGTTCAAGTCCTATTAGTATCCATGATACAAGTCGAATCCTAGATGTAGAAATAGAAGAAGCCGATGCTTATTCCCCAGATACCGTCATTGCTTTTTCTCCAGGAAAAGAAGTTCACGACCCGTGGGCCTTCTACCTCCACGCGGCATTGCTCCGTCAAGAATCTTATTCTTACTTTTTCTAGTAGGATAATTGTTAGTTATATTGACCGAAAACCCAGTGATAAGTGTAATTTATGCACTTATTTAGGCCATATTTATTAAACTTTTAAGTCGTCAAATTATTGTTTCTATTTAACTTAGGTTAATTTTATTCTTGTTTTTAGTGATGAACCCATTTGAAGCAATTGGAAAGGAAGAAGGGCAAAATCCAGTCAAATCTATAATTTGGGATTAAATTCCACAAGTTTGAAACCGAGGAGGACATTGGTTGCACAAATAAAATTCATATCAAGGATTAGATTTCATTAAAAGGGAAAAGTGATGCCTTGAATTGAAATATTTTATTAATTGGGCTGGTCCAATTGATACAAGAGGGCAGACACGTTGATGAAATATAGAGATGGCAATTTGAACCGTCAAAACCGAAAACCGCGGTTAACCGAACCGAATGGGGCGAAAAAAATCGAACCGATGGTGCAATGGGGCGGATATGGTTTTGATTTTAATGAACCGGTTCGTAATGGTGCGGGTATGGTATTTACGTCGTCGAACCGAAACCGAACCGATTACCCGCTAAAAAAAAAATTGAATTGATAATGGACTTTACACTACTTTTCTATCAAAATCAAAACAAAATCCCTCCCCTCCTCATTACATCTACCTGACTCATTCGGCCAGTCTACTTAGCATTAGCCCATAATAGCATTAGTATGACAGTATATAAATGTAAACCCTACTATCCACAACCACAAACTCACGCACGGCCCCATTGCCTCTACGGTCCAAATCGTCGTCGCCTTCGAAAATTTGTTACATTTGTTAGTCATTCTATTACTACCAATCATGTAAAAACAAAATTCGATGTTTTTCTAGACGTGCCAATATTGCCAAGGATGAATAGGAATTAACTTTGAATGCTGATCCATACTAGTAAGACTTGTAGGGATGAATGCATCATGTAACTTCAATGCACAACAATTAAGAATGAAGGAAAAGTTTAGTATTATTATATTTATAATATTGTTTGTTAAATTTGTATTTTACAATTGAAAATTAGGATAATGTTTACATTTACGTTTGGAATATTGTTTGATAATGTTTGCATTTTCGTTTAGAATATTGTGTTTTTGTTTTCATTGACTTTTTTCATAAATTGTTTTATATCAATTTGACGGATGAACCTATAAAAAATAATTTATTTTCGTGGTTATTAACCGAACCGAACCGTGCCGAACCGAGATAAAAATCGAACCGAACCGAACCGATTTACGTGGTTATGGTGCGGTTATGGTATGGTCAAAAATTTGATGGTGCGGTTATGGTTTTGGCCGAACCGACCCATAACCGAACCGTTGCCAACCCTAATGAAATAAGAAGAAGTGGGTTTCTTTTGAAAATAAAATAGGGTTGGCTGCTGAATTATACACACACACACACACAAATGGATAGAATTGCAAGGGAGGAGAGATAGATAGAAGTGGTCTGCCGGTAGGGAATTGTATTGGAAGTCAAGAATTGTTGCCACTTTGGAATCCTACTCATAAAAAAAAAAAAAAAAACAAGGGCTGCTTGCTTGTAAAAATGATATATACATATACACCACACAGCAGGGAAAAAGGGAGAAAATTGACACCAAAAAAAGCGGCTGCTTGGGCTGATTTTGATATATAAAGAACACACAAATTGGCAGCCGGAAGGGGGGAGAACGTAGCTGAAAATCTGGGGAAAATTATAGAAATAAAAGGGCTGCCATTGCATATATTCCACACGCCAACATTGGGAAAAGAGATACACAATTGAGGCTACCTTTCGGAGTGTGGATTAAAGGACAAAAACCACAAAAAGGGCTGCTAATTGGTGGAAATTATTC